TATTACGTGCTCAGATAGACCAAACAAGATTTCCATTATGAATGCAGGAGCAAAAGGAACGCCCCTCTTCTGAACCCACTTACACCTGCCGCCAATGGCAATACCAATAGAACCTGACGTAGGCAAAACCCAAGAGACAGAGGACGACACGCTTCGTTGCCCACGATCTAAACACAGCAGACGAGGAACCGCATTGCCGCATGATCTGTCTCGAAGTGCAGCATACAACATGGGGAAAGCGGCAGACACATGAGCGCATTTCAACAGGTCGGGCGGATGACGGACCCATTCTCACGACACCGTTGGTGGATACATCACACATCCCACACGCCTCCATCTTTGCATATGGTAAGTAGCATAGGGGGGCTGAGTAACATGTTTTAATAATAATAATAATAATAATATAATAATAATAATAATAATAATAATAATAATAATAATAATAATAATAATAATATATCAAAACTGAAATTAATAATAGTAACATTACAGTCAATAACAGAAAATAATAAAATAATAGTAATAATAATAATAATGAACGTTCGTCATTTCGGGTTGATTGCTCGACTACAGCAACTATAACAAGTTGCGACCATGCGAGTCTCTTCCCTTTTCTTTTCTTTCTTTGTGTGTGTGTGTGTGCGCGCGGGTATGTATGTGTGTGTGTGTGTTCTTGTTCTATAAGTAGATTCACACACAAGTGTCGTGAGATTGACTGCGAAATTCACACAGACACACACACGCATACACGAGTACACCCACACGGGCGAATGTGTATTTTCATAAATGGCGGAAAAAATAGAGATAAAAGAGGAAGAAAAAAAAAAAAAAAAAAAGAGGAAGAAGGGGAGGAAAAAGAAGAAGAAAAGAGATAGGGAGAGGATACTCACCTACCCCGATACTTACCATATGAGGGTGGAGTCTCACAAGGGGTGTCGAGCGCTGACGGTAGGGCGACTGAAGGCAGCGTGAGAGGGAGAGTTTTTCCATTGATAGGACGAGCAACGCAGCAGTAGAACAGGTAAGTCTTCAACCCTATGGTTGAATCTCACGTTACCGCCACACAAGCGGTTATCGGGTAGATGAAAATTCAGGAATGAAAATTCTGAAGTGAGAGTTTTGGGCAGTCTGAAAATCCCGAATGGTCTTGAAGTGGTGAAAGGTCTGGAGACCCTGAAAGCCACCTGCTTAGGCAGGCTGCATCCTGAAGTGGTGAACGATGTCCTGAAGTGGTCAAGTGAGCGTTTTGGGCAGTCTGAAAGTCCTGAATGGTCCTGAAGTGGTGAAAGGTCCGAAGACCATGAAAATCACCCTTCACCACTTAAGGATGCAACCTGCGTAAACGTATGGTTTTCAGTGTCTTCGGAGCTTTCACCACTTCAGGACTATTCAGGATTTTCATACCTGAATGGTCCTGAAGTGGTGAAAGGTCCAAAGACCCTGAAAACCACCTGTTTAGGCAGGCTGCATCCTGAAGTGGTGAAGGGTGTCCTGAAGTGGTGATGAAAAATACGATTGCTGTTAACCTTCTCTCTACCTCCATTGATAGGATGAGCAAGAACGAAGGCACCTATCGCTACATCAAGGAAAGATGTGTGTGTGAGTGTGTAAGCGTAGATTTTCACGATTGTCATCACGATAGTGTCATCAATAGGATGAGTAAAATCGAGTGAATCCACTGTTATAACATGGAAATACGCAGTCCTACACTTGCACATGTGCATGTGTGCGGCAAAGGAAACAAATCTAGAAAAAAAAATAAAAAAAATAAAAAGAAAACTACTAACTTCTAACTAACCCGTCGTGCCTACTGTCACCACGAGCCTAGTCTAACCATTCCTAATCTAAAGGTTGCGGGCTCGAATCCCGACCTCCCGAGGGTGTGGCAAAATGCTACGATGCTCCTCCACAAAAGGAGCTAGCTCATGAGGTCAGGCGGATTCGTTCCCCACACCAGGTGCTTGACAGTTCTACCCCTACACCTACTGAGCTAGCTCCTACTTTTGATAGAAGTAGAGCAGCCCAGTATATGTAAAGTATTCTTGGTCTTAGCTCACCTAGTGACATGATCTCGTGTCTATGCCTGTGAGTGTGCACGTTCGCTGGGTTGTATGGCTGTCGGAGAGCTTGCTGGTTGAGTGTGTGCGTGACCCTCAAGGGTATCTCATTCACCTGTTGGCGCATAAGGCTGATACTTACTTGCAGTTGCGACATTGTGAAAATGCCACTAGGAAAACACTCAAGTAGCGGGTATGCCGGTACCACTCCATTCAAAAGTTGATAAGCTTGGTATTCGAGGTCGAGTGGAAGAAGACAAGGTCGACATTTTTAAAGGCCTATGACTAGTAGTCGCTACTTGGTGTAGTGATGGCGTGTTTCTATAATTTGTCCTGGCTTCAACGGTCGAGACATTCGCTTCACGACGTTATGCCGAAAACTCTTATTCCTTACTCCTAACCTTCCTTAATATTATGGTAACCGACATCGATATTATGTCGAATGCAAATTTATGAGCAAATACCCTTGTAAGGGTGTTTGCTTCGACAGTCTTCCTGGACCCCATTACGCGACGTCCCCGTCGGTGTGGAATCTAAATGCAAACAAAGGGCTTCTGACGCGACAAGTTGTCAAAATCCAATTTCCTGGATGAAGCTGTGGTTCGAAGACTCTCACTGTCTCCCTTGGTGCGTCCATGCTGCCAGGATTTTAAACTGGGTCTCCCACATATCCGAAAAATTGTAATACCAAAGAAAATATTATTCCATGACTCAAAGTGGGGATACTGGATCTATACAACAGCTACAGAGGTCGCCAAGGAAGATAATGATAGCTTCTCCCCTCAACTTTAGACTTTATTTGCCAGAAATGCGTTGGGTGTCCGAGGAGTTAGGAATCATAATTGAATCCTACTCTTTTGGACGAGGGTCTTAACCTTAGTCAGATTTTACCGTCCAACCCGAAGTCTAATGCGAGGGGATCGGCGACCTTGGTCTCAACTCACCACAGTCGGTTGATCAGGCCGGATTTGCGGCCCACCGTTTTGTTATTGTAATGGTGGTACCCGTATTGGTTACACAATACAGGATAAAAGTCCTCCTATCAAAATATCTAGACCCGACTCTTGATCCCTCCGATATCTACTTGAACCGATACTATCATTAGGGAGTCTCTCCCCTCAAGTTTAGTCCCAGGCCGTAATCAGAAGGCCCGCTGCCTGGTTATACTTCGTCAGCAGCCCACGTTGGGAGTTACGTCCTAACGATGCTAGTTTTCCACCATAGGCTTGGTAATTTGAAGTCCCTCAGACTGATCTCCATGAGTGGATGAGCGATGATCATTTCAAAAACATACATATGAAAATCAATTTGACCAAATAAAATTTTTCTCCCCTCGTCAGTTGTCTTTGAATGGTTGACCAATCCCATTGAATGTATATATGAAAGAAACAATTTCATCAATAAAAAATGATTTAACATGATTGTCATATTTATCTCTGATCGAGGGGCATCGTCAGAGCCACTTAGGGGCCGTTCCTCCCAGACCTCGATCACAGGCTGGATAGGCACACGTCTCGGGGATCTTTTTCCAATAAAAAAATCAACAAAAATATTTATAAAGAAAGTATAAAAGGTATTTGTTTAACTTCTTGTCTTGTCAAAAGTTAAAAAAAAACACCCTTTCCATTCATAACATACTTTCCCCTGATTCACAGGGTTTCTCAAATGCATAAAAACTTTGACTTTTTCATACCCTTTTTAGGGTCCCTTTCAATAAGAACCAAAATGACTGATCATAAATGCAAAACAATTTTCAAACTTTGCAAGTCTCATTTCATTCTGTCATTCTTGAACACTTAGACGCTTTTCTGAGCATCCTAGTTCAAGATTTGACAACATAGACTATACACATACCCAAAATATACATTTCATCAATCAAACCCAAACATTGGACCAACTCAATTGTGAAAGTGAAAAGTATTCAAGTTCCCCATCGGTATACCTTGCATATAAACTTAGGATGAACTAACTCAACTGAATACAAAGTATTTGTCCAAACCGATCCAGAATGACGCACATAGCCTAAAAAATGAATCATACGTCTGATCTATCCTCAACTACTAGAGTACAAATGCCGAGTCTAAAGAACATACGTGATACTACAAACTCTCCTAATCCTAGCAAATGTGAAAAATTTGATTACATACTTTGTAATTGACTAAAACACTCTATCTGATGTTTGTAAGAAGAGTAAATAACAAACTCACCACATTACTTCCTTTATCCTCCATCCTTAATATACAATGTCTTTCATAAGAATCATATCTCACATATCTGAAAGAGATTTCAAAATTGCTTTTACTCTAGTCCTATAAAGTGAGTCCCAACTGCTCATATAATTGGACCTTGAATCCTTCCTTGGTTCTCTTAATCAGATTTTTCTTTCTATCGATGAGTCTGTTGTTCTCATCGAGGCTAACCAACCTCGTAGTCCTATCTGTCTTAAACCCAGAACAATCATCTCTCATGTGGATTTCCGTCATGCAATACCAACATAACTTCTTCTCCTCCTCCTTTGTTCTCTTTGCAGATGATGGAATATCTTGAGATGCTGCCCCGATTAATGTTTCAAGATAAGACATTTTCTTATTTTGTCCTACTCTGTTAACAGTCAGCGAGGTTTCTCCAACATTCTCATCAGGCGAGGTGACCATTCCAACTAACAACCCTTCGTTTTGCTTATCATTAAGTCTTTCCTCTTCTCTTTCCACCCTTGGGTCTTCCCTTCTGTCCTCAATCTTTTTAACGCCCCCTACTTCGACCTTCGCCTGAATATCCCCTTTGGACCTTTTCAAAGCCTCTTCCACCTCCTTCCATCTCTTTTCCCACTTCTCACTCTCCTGCTTCCTTTCGCTTTTTCCTGACTCAATTGCCTTACCTTGCTCACTGACTTTTGCTTCCAACTTACCAACTTCTCTTTCCAATCTTTCTCTTTCCATATTTTTTGTTTTCACCTCTTTACTCTTGCTGTCAAGGGCGGTACTTAGTGTCTCTACCTTAACTTCCAGCTTTCCCTGCTCAATCTTCACCTTTTCCACCTCAGTCTTCAAACTTTCCATATCCTTTTACATTTTTGTCCACTGCATGTCCCTTCTTTCTTCCCTTGCTCTCAACCTATTAATCTCCTTCAGAATTTCAGGGATGTGGCTCGCCACCCCCTGCGTGAGCAACTCTGTCTTTTCCCTTATTCTGTCCTAGAGTTCCCGAATGGGGACCTCTAATTCCCTTCTTCTTCCTTCCTCCACTTTTCCCAACTTATCGGTCACTTCTGCCTCCCCCTCAAGGAGCCATTCACAATCTTCCCTGAGCAGTTCATGCAACCGGATCAATCTGTTTACATCAAAGGCTAGCTTGGAACTGACCACAATCTCAGAGAGTAATACCCTTTCCAGCTTCAGGTTCTAGGGCGCGTCTGAAGGCAACTCCTTCTCGTTTAACGAAGCCACAACTTGATTCCTCCATTCCTTGTTATCTTCCTCTCTCCTCTGCCTTTCTTCTTCTATCAATTTTCTTGAACTCTGTTCTCTTAGAGGTTCATCGGAAGTAGGTACTTCAGCAGTTCCAGATAGTCCTGCTTCTTCAATTTTCTCATCATTCTTTCCCTTTTCTTTTCCTTCCTTCATTTTTCCACTTCCCTTCTTTACCTTTCGAGTCATGTCACTGCCTTCCACTTCCTTCTCACTGCGCTCCTCCTTTCGTGTTTTGCCTTTCCTCATTGAGCCATCTCCACCTAGAGCCCTCGCCTCGCCACCGTCCCGTGGAGGAGATATGTCGTCTCCCCCATTCTCCTTCTGAGCTTTTCTCCCCATCCCCTCTCCTCTCTTGCCAATCCACAATCTCTGTTCCCGAAGCAGTTGTTTCCTCTTCTGCCGCTGTACCTCCAAGGGATAGGCCTTTCTCATTTTGACAAGGAAACCTCCCCAGGTATCCGATTCCTCCCTGACCTTTTTTACTGCCCCATATTCCCTCGGTGCTATCCTCTTCAAATACTTGCTCCATCTTCTTCTTCTCACCCCACCTCCTTTTATCTGCGCAAAGGTTGATACTGTCCTCAAAGTCCTCCAAGTTTATAGCATGGAAGATGATATCATCTTCGATCTCATCTCTCATCAAATCCCCATATTTTGCCCACATGTTAGCCTTGAAAGTCATCCACCCCAGACAATCTGAAGCAATATCATCTATCACCTCGTTGCATTCCCCCAAACCTGTCACCTGCTAAAGCATGGTCTGAGTATCCCACTCTCTCCTGAAGGCATATTTTTCAAACTCCCTCAGAAATACCCTCAGATTGTCACTTTTTTTGTAGATCGGCATCCTTTGGGAATCCCTTGTTACCTGCTGCATCTTCTTTCGTCCTTCTCTCCCAGGAGTTGTCCTGGAAGGACCCGCCACCCCTCCCTTCTGTGACATAGTTGCCTACTTCCCGGGCCACGCCTGCACACAGAAAAAGAAAGGGAGTGACATATAATAGGAAGAGTCAGCAACGGGTTAACAATAGAATATTCGCAAAGAAAATAGCATGATAAAGGTTCTACAAGATCATCAGGTTTTTCCTTCCAGTTTTCATCAACTCACCTCCTGTCTAATCTTGAACTTCTTCAGCCTAGATCCTGAAATCCAATCTTTTCTTGGTGTTCCATCCATTTCTTCAAGCTCATAGGCTCTATGATTTCCTCTGCGTCTGACTCTGAAAGGTCTCAACCATCTCTTGTCCAGTTTCCTTGGCCATTGCTTTTCAAGTGAGGAATTGTATAACAGTACTATATCTCCGATCTCCAATGGTTCTTCTCGTACGCGCGAAGATCTATCCCATCTTTCTTTGTCTTTCCCACGACTGTCAGCCACTCTTTCCACTGCTTTCTGAATCCTTTCCTCAGTGATACCGACCTGCCTAGCTCTGATGTCAAGTAACTCCGAGTCCTCCAGAGGCATATCATTCTCAATTCCCTGTCTTCGCCACGTCTTCAAGAAACTTTCTATCGGAAACGTGACATGCCTTCCATACCACAAGGTTGCAGGGGCATAACCTGTGGTTCTTTTGAATGTAATATTCTCAACAAAGAACACTGTTCGAAGGAACTTCGGCCACAGGTTTGGCTTCCCAGCTGTCCACTTTGCCAGCAAATTAGTGATAGTACTGTGTCTCCTTTCAACAGGTGCATTTGCCTGAGGATGTGCCCTGGTCGTATACTTGGCAATAACTCCAAGATCGTCCAACAGCTCCTTCACTTCTCCACACGTAAACTCAGATCTCCTGTCCATTGTAAACTCCACCACAAAGGGATATCAGAGGTAATACTCTTTGATGCAGTCAGCCAAGACTGCTCCAGTCTTGGTCCGGATGACTTTTCCATCAACAAATCCTGTAAGATTATCTCGGGCATCAAAGATATAATTATAATCTCCAAGTCCCAATGACATTGCCAGGAGATCCAGTTGGATCATTACCCCCACATCCTTGATATATCTTGGATGTAGAGACTTCTTGTATCTAAATGGAGACCTGACTTGGCAAGAGACGTACGACTCGTAGTACTTTCGAATCATCCTGTACATACCTTCCCAAAAGTACAGTTCGATCACCTTCTTGATGGTAGTGGCAAAACTCCTATGACCACCCACGGGTCCGTCATGAAGAGCTGCTATGACATCGATTTGTCGATTCCTACCACAAATGACTCTCCTGGGAGACCCTCTCTTATCCCTGATGAAGAGATGGTCTCCCCTCACTATGTAGTGATATCTCATACGAAGAGTCTTCTTACTAACATCCCTTTCTCGCTTATCCCCGGAGAGAAGAAGTCTCATTTCTAGATAAAACCCGTCATATTATTCTTCCCGGAAATCTTATGAGAGATCTCACCTTGTTCAAATTCTTCTTCTGTCATCTCTTCATCAAATTCAAGATCATCCCTCAGCACTATCTCGTCTGCCTTTACTATCTCTCCTTCATTCTCAGCTTGAACTTGCAGGAGTGAGTTGACAAGATAGTGTACTCTCCCCATTGTCAGCAGGTGCTGATCTACCTGGCTTGTTCCAGCCTCAATTGTTACTGGATCGTCAGTCAGTATGTAGTTTTCTGCCAAAGTCAATTCCTCCATCAATTCTCCATTCCTTTCTCCCCATGGGTCTTCTTCAACGAAAGGTTTCAACACCAACCCTTCGATTTTTACAAAAGTAGCTGGTGCAAACCACATGGACTTTCCTCTCCTTGCCACCTTATCATTAACACTTAGTTCCTACGAGTTCACATGGAGCTGCATATCATCTTCATCCGAAAATCCATCTACTAGTGGTGTTTCTTCCTTGGCATCTCCAGGCTTCTTTCATTTTATCCTGCTTAACCCATCAACCCTGTTCTTGTTCCCTGAGATATGTTCCAACTAAAAGTCGAACATCCAGATGTACGTGAGCCACCTGGCGATTGTAGGATCCGTGGGAGAGAAATTCTTGAGGGAATAAACACGGGCGGTTGTATCTATTCTCAGGACAAACGTTCTCCCATAGAGGTAGTGCCTAAAGATACGCAGGCAGTGCAGCACGACGAAAACCTCCTTTTTGAATTGAGAGCAATTCCGTTCAGTAATATTGAGGGTTCGACTCTCAAAACGCAAAGGTATTTCCTTTCCTTCAAAGTCTGTCTGTATTAGAACTCCTCCCGAAGCGGTCGGTCCAGCATCAGTCTCTATGATAAAGGGTCGCTCTGTAACAGCTTCATAGTAAGGGACCCTCAACACAAGACCTCCTTCTCCAAATTTCTTCTTCAAACTCTTCACTACTTGTTCCTGCTTTTCTCCCCATTCCCATTCCCGATTCTTTCTTACCAACTTTCTTACATGCTCAGTCTTTGCAGCAAACCTTTCGATGAAAATTCTTCAAAATCCGCACGTTCCAAGAAAACATCTTACTTCGCTAACGTTCCTGAACGGAGTAGAATATTCAAGAATTTTATTCGTTTTCGTGGTGTCTGGGCGACGACCTTGCTTATTGCATACAAAGCCCAATATAGTGGCCTCTCTCATGCAGTGCCTTGATTAAGCCCTGCTTGCCGTAAGGTTATACTCCTGTAACAATTCAAGCACCTTCCTAAGATCATTGACATGATCCCAGACAAATTTCCTTATGCCAGGCGCAACCTTTTGCTCATCCTTCACCATCGGGTCCTTTACATCAAGATCATCAATGTACGGTTCAATAATCTGTGGACTGATTGTCTGCATGACTCTCACCATACTCCTTTGCACCATGGCTACCGCGTTCGTCCATCCTTGGGGTGCCACGTTCATGTGAATCAATCCCCTTGGAGTATGCATGACTGTTATTAGTCTATCGGCAGGATACACTGGGAACTGGTCATAACCAGAGTACAAATCTATGAGCGAGATAATAGACCTCCCAGCACAGGCTTCAGAGAGTTGATCAGCGTTAGGGAGCCCTCCAGCATCCCTGACCGTTACAACGTTCAACCTTTGCAAGTTTTTCACCCATCTGAGGACCCCATTTGGCTTGATGAAGCAGAACCATGGTGAGGCATAAGGTCCACTAGAAAACCCCACTACATGAGAGTCAATCTTCCCGTCAAGGTATTCTACTACCCTTCTCTGATCATCAGGATTTTGGTACCTGGCTCCTCTAACATTCCAAGGTTGATGTGAGACTGTGTGGATCCGGATCATCCCTATCTTGTCCACATCCAACTTTCGTCTTTGCTCATCGTTGAAGGCATACACACAATGCTTCTCCTTCATTAAATCAATTACTAATGTATTTTCCCTGCTTTGTCAAGAACTCAGGTTCTCCAATAATCAGATCTTTCTCAGTCTCTTTGTTAATACGACATGATTCTGCTCCTCATTTCTCTCTCATCTGCCTAATCAATTATCTTTCCTGCTCATAGTACACTCTCTCTTATCTACCGTCTTGTACCTCCTTTCCCCCCATTGTTTGAGCCCACCCCTAAAAAATGTTGATTGCAGGCTTGGGCATATGGTCCCTGTACTTTCTCCTCTTGACGAGGCGACCTGTATACCAATTTCATCCTTCCTCCTTCAGGATAATCATACAGCTTATCGGCCAAAGCCCGAATGACCTCAGGTTCCGCCTTATCATATGCAGATACCATGTACATCGCTTGGTCTATGTTGGCCAAGCTTAATACCAATCCCCCACTTTCTTCTTCCTCATCTTCCTCATCAGACCCCCATTCTAATTCTCTTCTTCTATTTTTAGACTCCTCAAAAGTATATGACCCAACACTGAGCCGGTTCTTCGAGCTATGAGGACCTGTATTTTTACAGGTAATGACCTCGAAGTTCCCACAAACAGGGTCATATAGGATTACGAACATAGTCCCGTCATGTTTGTTCATGATGAGGGTCTCTGATCGTGATAAGAACGACCTTCCTAGCAATATAGGAAGATCCAAGGTAGGCATGATATAGAAACAAGATCGGACTCTGACACTTCCTATTTCCATGATTACATTTGAGGCAATCCCTGTGTATCCTGACTTTCCACTAGCTCCATTAAGGTACCTACAATCTCTTCTGTCGATTTCCAACCCTAACCTTTCAGCTGTTTTTGAATTCATGATGTTCATTTTTGCTCTTGTATCCACACATCCCAGGGCATCCTTTCCCTCTGATACTGACGTCAATGGATCTTATCCCCACAGATTTCCAGTCCATTTTACTCTCTGCCACTGTCCAATTTGCCTCTTTGGGGATTAAATCTCTCAACCTCACTGTCGCTACTCTCTTTCGAGCCAGTTTTGTTTTTACTAATTCCCTGAGCTTGGGTGCTGGTGCCAAAATCTTTTTCAGGTTCAACAACTCATTATGTCTATCAAGAAGCTTGTTCACCAAGTTCTCTAGGTCTACTCCTTCAATCGACGTCTGGTACTTCCACTTTTTCTTTGACTTCTCCCCAACCTTTTCCTTCCCTCCTTTAACATCATGCTTCCGTTTCGTAGCCTTCTGCTCGGCTTGTTTGTCCTCTCCTAGGTAACTCATCCTGTTCCTCCTCTTCCTCTTCCTCTATTTCGATAGAGGCTCTCTCTTGAAGTGGTACAGGAGCATGTGCTGGTTCCTTGGGCGCATTTCCTCCTTTAGGCTTCCGTGCAGAGCCTGATAGGCAGCTTCTGACCCAACAGTCAGAGTGACTCTCATTGCTCTGGGGTTAGAAACTCGCTTCATCATCCTCCTTCCCCTGACCCATTGTGAATACATGCGGCATTTTCATTTCTAGATTCCTCACCTCCTCGCAAATATCAGTCATCCTTACATTTAACCTACTCATCTTATCTATCATGTCTTCCATTCTCCCCAAAGCTCCTCTTGCCAACTCTCTAACTACATTGTCTTCTTCTGACTCAATTTCAACCAGTGGTGTACCTTTTTTTTTTCCTCACTTATCTTCACTCCTTTCTTCAATTGGTCACTCAGTTCATCAACTTCTTCCACCCAAACAAAAGGATCTTCTTTTTCCTACCATATATGAAACATGGCAAGGGCGTTGGGTCCAAACCCTGCAATTCTGATGGCCTCTTTCCTTGTGCCCCCGGGGATGTTTGGGTCAATCTTGTCTCCTCGCTTATCGAACACATCCCCGTCGATACTTGATGTGATCAATCCATCCTGCTCATCTATTCTTCTAACATGACACATGCTTACAATATATCCTTTTATCGTGCAGTGTGTACAAATGCACTCGTTGTAGTCTATCCAACCTCGTCCGGCCCCTTGATCACTCCATTGCCTATCACTTCTTCCAAACCCCCTACTATAATTCTGGTTATAGCCTTGGGCATACCCTTGACCGTACCCTTGGTTGTATCCTTGTCCGATCTGGTTGAAGCTTACCTGATTGTAATTCCCAGACTGCGCACCTCCCTGAGGTCCCCAACTCCCACCTTGTCCGCCATTTCCTTGTCCTCTGAATCCTCTTCCTCCATGGCCATTTCCTCTTCCTACATTTCTACCCATACCGCGTCCTTGACCATGTCCTTGTCCCTGAAATTGATTTTGACCTTGGTTACCCTGAGGTGGCAGAGCATGTTGTGGCTGACCCTCATTTGCTCCTTGCCCTTGTGATGGTCCCACCCCAGTTCCTTGTACTTGGGGCAAATTTGAATTCATCCCAATTTGACCGAAACCCGGCCACTGATTCCCGGGATAGTATCCAGGTCATGCCCCCATAGGAGCTACCACCGACCAAGGTCCGAAGTCTGCGTGTGTGACACTGTGTATGTCACAGTGTCTGTGCGTGTCTCTTCGTGTCTGTGTCTGTGTGTGTCTCTCTCTCACACACAGTCTGATGAAAACAGTCTGGCACAGTCAAGCTTTGTTTGTGGAATTTTGTATAGCGAACACGACAAAACACATGCGATTGCAAGCACGCACACACACATTCCCACTGCCAATTACCCTGTCTGTCTGTTTGTCTGTCTGTCCGCACTCGAATGGCAGGGGCATAGGCTCTCCCTGGTAGGTTAGCAGTGTGACTGCATTGAGTCAGCGGTACATCCTAGTCAGTCCAGGTCCAGTCAAGCAAGTACCGTATGGGACTGTGGACACTCAGGTCCAAAGGAAAGGGCAGGCCAGTACCAAACAAAAGCATAAATCAAGATGCAGTGCCAAGCCATTCATTCACTCCTGCGTAAGCCATGCGGAAGCGCTGCTACATCGGTTTGTGCAATGGGGTCTGCAGATGCCCGGAGAGTGCAGCGGTTGAAGGAGAGCTTAGCCATAGCTGTAGGTGTAGTGCAGTGTGAGGTACAACGTGTGTGTGTATTTGTAAGCAGAGTGTTGCGTGTGGGGTATCTAGGGTGATCCCGTGTGTGTGAACAGAGAGTTGTTGGGGCGCTGTGGCGCCATATTCGTCTGCAGTGAACTTGTAATTGACCTGTGTTCTTATCTGTCGTATCTCTGAGCTTTGAGTTTGAGCTCTTGTCACCAGTTTGGCGTGTCGCCGGTCTGCATGCATGTGAAGTAAGGAAGAAAGCAAGTCTGATCGCAGAAATAGCAATAATAAAATAATAATAATAATAATAATAATAATAATAATAATAATAATTAAAAAAAAAAAGCAAGCAAATTGAGCGATATCGAACTTCAGAAATCAAACAGCATCATACACATATCACTAGATAGTCGTGACCTCGAACCAAAAGCAGAATTGCATGATGTGTCCCACCAAATGACAGCACAGCAAAAACTCATAATTGACAATGCTGGCATAGTCCCATCATCATCAACACAGAACCAATGTCAATATCCTACCTGGCGTTCGGCGCCATACTATAGATGGCAGATCCTATCTAGCCTACTACTACAACGCCGAATGATGACGACAACAGCTCTTCCGAAGTACGAGCAGATCTCGACCAATGTCGATCACCTCAAGCACCAGGTATGTCACGTACACCATGACACAGATACACCGTGAGACACAACGCACACACACAGTCACACCGGCACACATACACAGTAACGCAGGTATAGTCACACACACAGTCATGCTGCGACAGATACACACACAGTGAAAACACACACAATGACACAGTGCACCGTGACGGTGACACACAGATACGCGGACAACAGTGCAAAGTGACACTCAGACACACCGTGTCACACAGATGCACTGTGACACATACGCAGTGAAAACACATTGTCACACTGTGACAGACACGCATACACGCTGTGATAGACAACGCATGCACAGTGACACACAAATAAATGTTGTGACACAGACAGATGATGTGACACACACGGCTGGATGCCGTGACACAGACAGATACAGTGACATGCATAGATAAATACTGTGACAAACAAATACTGTGACAGTCACGCAAACACAAAAATACAGCGACACATACTGTGACATATAAAGTGATGCATATACAAGTGAGACACATACACAGTGAAAACACTGTGACACACGCACAGTCACGATGACACAGACACTGTGACACATACACAGGGTCACATACATTGTAACACAAATATACAGTCACACACGTACACAGTGTCGCATGACACAGACACAGTGTCACACAGAAAGTGACTCAGATACATAGTCACACCGTGACGCACAGTCATACAGTGACACACAGTCACACTATGTCCAACACGCATTCATAGTGAAACACACACACGGTCACGCGGTGACACATACGCAAGTGACACGGACACTGTGATAGGCACAGTGTCACACATTGTGACACACGTACAGACATTGTGATACATACACAAATACAATGACACACAGTCACACAGTGACGCACGGTCACACAGTGACACACAATCACACAATGACGCACAGTCACACAGTGACACTCAGACACAGGGGTTCTTTTGAGGGAGTAAACCAGCGAGGATGATAAGAGGAGCAAGGTCCCGAGAGACCTGCCTTATCGCCTAAGCCCGCTTAAGTGAGAAAAGTGAGCGATAAGAGAAGCGAGGCTCCGAGAAGCCTGCCTTATCGCAAATAAAGGCACGAACGGTGTGATAAGTGTAGCAAGGCTCCGAGTAGCCTGCCTTATCACGAGGTTGTCACTAACAAGATATGATAAGAGTAGCAAGGCTCCGAGTAACCTGCCTTATCATAATGATATCACTAACTATGTGATAAGAGTAGCGAGGCTCCGCGAAACCTGCCTTATCACAATAATAACAAAGAACAATGTGAGAAAAGTAGCGAGGCTCCGAGAAAGCCTGACTTATCACAATAATGACAAGAACAATGTGATAAGAGTAGCGAGACTTCGAGAAGCCTGCCTTATCACTATAATGACAAGAATAATGTGATAAGCGTAGCGAGGCTCCGAGAAGCCTGCCTTATCACTATAATGACAAGAACAATGTGATAAGAGTAGCGAGGCTCCGAGAAGCCTGCCTTATCACTATAACGACGAGAATAATGTGATAAGAGGATCGAGGCTCCGAGAAACCTGCCTTATCACATTAATTACACGATATGATAAGAGTAGCAAGACTCCGAGAAGCCTACCTTATCACACTAGTAACACGACATGATAAGAGTAGCAAGGCTCCGAGAAGCATGCCTTATCACACTAATAACACGATGTGATAAGAGTAGCAAGGCTCTGATAAGCCTGCCTTATTACCCGCCAGCGGTGCTTCAATACGAAACAGCAGTAGGAGGAGCAAGGCACCGAGATGCCTGCCCTATTGCCCAACCGCATGGATGAAGGAAGTGGTAGTAAGAGGAGCAAGCCCGCCTTATTACCATCCGACCTTGATCTAATGCAAGACAGTAAATAGGCGAAGCAAGGCCCTTGAGGTCCGCCCTATCACAAGCAGACGCCCAGTGAAGATGAGTAGATCCCGAGTGGTCTACCATATTGTTACTAATTTTTTGGATAGACAGGAAACAATGAAAGCCCTGAAAAGAAATCGATCCATTACTGACAGACCGCTTCCTGATTCTGTCGAGGTGGAAATAGAAGGAATGTGGCCCCGTGTGACCCGTCCTGCTACCTTAACCTCTTGATTGATGACAATCTTATGATTCTATTCCGAATGAGTTTGATGATATTTTGCCTATGCATGTTTTAAGTGGGGATCATATGATGAGACAAAAAGTATTAGCGATATTAGCTTATGGTCTGATGAGAAGTTAGAGGGAATGCCTAGAGGGAGTACATCGATGTAGTATTATTCCGGACTAGAAAGAAGTTCATTATATTGAACTTTAGATAGGGTTATGTCGATGGCAAAGAGGTGTTGAGACCGTGTTGACCTGTGTGTGATTGCAGGTTATCTCGATCAAGAAGACTGATTATGAGCCTAGACAAGACTACATGTTGTTGCCTTATGGTAACAGGTTGATTAGCCGACTCAACCCTCACTCACCCTCAACACCCACACTTTGCATCGACCTTTGCACTAAAAGGCATTTTTGTTTTTTTGGGTTATTGTCTAAAGGGTCCGTGTTTGGTCAAAAGAGGCCCTTGAAATGACTAAAGTTAAATTTGGATGAATGACTAAGTCAAAAATGGGATGTCTTACTGAAAGGTTGGAAGTGTAAGTGTAATGTGGGTGAAAGTGAATAAATGGTTGACTATGTTAGAATTGTGTATAGCATTTGGATTTGTTTGCAAGTCAGTAAAACGACCAGCCACATGCTATTTACGACAACCTATTGAGAAACTTATGTTATCTCGGGTCTTGATCCAGATGTTCCATCAGTGCGCGATTGGTCTGAGTAACCAGCCTTGCGCCCCTTTCCCTGATTGTTAGGAATATTAGGATTATTGCTAAGGCAACAAGCCTTATTCATTTCCTGTTCATTTCATTTGTACATGTTTGAAAGGTCAAAGACCTATGTTTTTCCTTGATGAATTCGGAATGTCTATGTGAATGTGTTAAGTGTATGTGACATCTCCTTGCCTAATTACTCAGCCTTATTTCATTGCATGTGTATCTATGATATGGCAAAGGGTTTTCATAAAGAGATATGCTGAAGTGACTTAATCACTAGGTAGGATGGGTATGTGTCTTATGCGCAACCCCTGATAGCGAAAAGTCATGGGGGGATCGTCAAAAAAGCTAGCCAGTGGAAGTGGAGAGAAAACAAATGATGATAATCGAGGCTCTCTCCGATCTGTAAAGGCTGAGAAAAAACGGTGTGACGACCAAGAAAGGAAAAGAGGTGAGAAAGTGATTGACATGGAAGAAGAACCTAGACCTCCTAAGTTGACCAAGACCCAGTGAAGGGCAAGAAACCGAGCTCAAATGATCATAGGTCGTGGACGAGATCAAGATTGGGGAAGCGGTCAAGGAAATGATGGTCGAGGAAACAGTGGTCAAGGAAAAGGTGGTTAGGAAAGTGGTCAAGAATCTTGAAAAAGAAGAGTGGATTTGATAAATGTTGTCTGCAGGCATTGTACCCAAGAAGGACATACAATGAGGTCTTGCAACGTCAGAAAGATTGATGAGGCAAATGGCCTGATAAACACCAATATTGAAGAAGGTGTTTTTTACAAATTTAGGAACCCGATTGACCCAAAAATACCTAGAGAGACGAGATAGGAAGCCTTGCGCCGGGAGTGCGAATGGTGGATAACGGCGACGACCTGTGTCAACGACAGAGGATTGTAAGGTCATTGGATAGTAACGTCGTGAAAAAGTCA